CCCCCCACTTCATCCACCGGCCCCCACTTCATCCACTGGCCCCACTTCGTCCACTGGCCCCCCACTTCATCCACCACCCCCCACTTCATCTGAGCACAGAAACACAATAACTCACGTATTTTAATAGTTCCTAGAACGTGTTGGCGGCTCTGCTGTCATTAATACAGCAAGAGAATGAGTGCTGAGTCCGTCTGGCTGCCCCACTCCGAAACAGAAGCCCAGCTGAGTTGTCTGGACGCTTGTTCCCACCCTCACCCCCTGAGGACATGGGGCAACACCTGGAGACACTTGTCACAGCCGGGGGTACAGGCCAGAGACACTGTCACGTCCTACAGCGCACGGGGACCCCACGCCCCCTCTGGCCCCAATGTGGACAGCGCCACGCTGGAGGGCCCTGGTCTGGAGTCCACACGGTGACAGACCATGAGGGTCCACTTCAACCGTGGCACAGACCGAAGCCCCAGTGGAAATGGAAGGAGAGAGCAAAGGCCAGTCTGTGGACAGGGTTTCGCCCACACCAAATGCCCCTCCTCCCACACAGCCCCAAGGCCATAGCGTCGTGTTTGGGTGACTCCACAAAGTGCCAGCCTGGCGGGTAGTGTGGTTAGATATCGGCAGATTCACTCGGCTCCGCCTACGTAACTCTGCTCCCAGGACACAGTCGGGTGTCCCCAGCCGCTCTGGCCAGGAAACGCAAGCTACCTTCCGTGGGACCAGGTCGTGGGTGAGAAAAGGCTCGAGGCCCACAGGACACCAGTTGCTGGGTCGCCAAGGCCACGCGGAGCAAAGGGTGCCCAAAATGCCAAACGGGGCATCGAACGTCTGTGCAGGGGGTCGTAGGGGGTGGTGTAGAGTCACCCTCCCTGTCTCCCCTCAGACGGTGCCCCCAGTCCACGCTGGCCCCACCATCCTGTTACCTAGATCAGAGGGGAAGTCGTAGGCCCGCCCCATCTTCCCTCACCTGAGGCCCCACATGCATCCCGTCCGTCCAGCACTGTCCTGGCTGCCCACTGCCCGTGACATGAGCACACAGTTCGGCCGGCGACGCTGGGCCTACCTGGAGAGGCAGCGCGTAGGACGAGCAGGCGGGGAGGGTGCCGGGCGCCGGGCAGAAGCCGGCGTAGGCCAGGATCTGCTGGGCCGGGCCATAGAGGATCTCAGGCGGAGCGGACGGGCCGGTGACCACCTGGGGCAGGGGGACCTGCCACGAGAACAGAGAGCGTCAGCAGGCCCTCCAGAGGCGGGCGCCTCTCAGTATCCCCCTGGGAGCCTGTCCTCCAGGTGTCCATGAAGGAGGGGTCTGTGCCCCTGAATCCAAGGGGGAGAGACGCCAAGAGTCCTCGGGTCAGCCTCTCTCGGGCCAGAACAAGGCATCTGAAAGCGAGGCTCTTTTCCTCTTCGTCTTTCTGTCTGTTTGCCCAGGGACCCGCCAAGATGCCAGCTCAGGCTCAGATCTCTTTGGTGCATTTTTTGAAAAAGGAAGACTATGCCGGTCCCTCCTCCACTGGAGCGGGGGCACCGCGGGCGTCGCGGGCCTGAGGGCGGCTGACCTCAGAGACGCTCTCAGATCTGGTCGGGGCGCGCTCTCCCTCCCTTCGCCTCCTCCGGGGCCACGGCCCAGGCCAGACCTCTGGTCACAGGGATTTCTGGAGAAATGCACATAATACCAGGGCATCCCAACTCCTGGACGCTGTGCTTTTGTCGGCTCCAATCTCAAAAGGAAAACAGGACGTGGCCCTGATTCACACCTGTCCCGCAGAGAGGACGGGGCTGTAGGAGGGAGCCCTGCCCAGGGGGAGGCCAGGCCTCACACCGGGTGCTCAGGGGGGTACCAGACCAGAGGTGTGTCCCCCTCTGAGAGGACAGAGGCTGGTTGCCCACCCAATACCCACGGGCCACATGGCAGCTTCACTTGTCTGCGGGGCTGGGGGCCCCATCCAACTATGGCCCTGGCTTCCTCCATCTGCCCTGGCCTCTCGTCCACCTCCTTACCCCTGGGCCCGGCAGTGTGAGTGACCGCGAGGGCCCTAGCTGGGCCAGCAGGACTTTCCTCCAGCATCTCTCCGTGTGCCCAAGGCTCGGCGCAGACCCTTCCTCCCCAGACGGTGTCTGTAAGCACCGCCCCATCACCCAGCCCCGCCTCGGGGACCCTCTGCAGATCGCGGGAACCCTCTGCAGACCCCAGAGACCCTCTGAAGATGCTGGGGACCCTCTGCACATGTGGGGGGGCCCTCTGTGGACCCTGGGGACCCTCTGCAGACCCCGGGGACCCTCTGCAGCCGCCGGGGACCCTCTGCAGACCCCGGGGACCCTCTGCAGACCCCAGGGACCCTCTGCAGACCCCAGGGACCCTCCACAGATGCTGGGGACCCTCACACTCTGCCTGCTGGGCTCCCACTTCGCGACCAGCATCTTGTGCCCTCCGTCAAAGCCCTGGTGTGCTGAGAGGGCTCACACAGCTTTGAGTGGCTCATGAAGGGCCTTTGCTCCTTCATGTAATTTTTAAATTATGGAATCCGTTAACTTCCAGGAGTACCTGCTTGGTAGGTGTAAAATTTTAAGGAATCGCCTTCTTGCTTCTTACACATCCCAGAGCTTTGGGTTTGAGGGAGAAAATTGTCCAGAGCAGAGTTTGGACACAGCCCTGTGGATGGTGTGACCAGTGCCCTTCTGGGGCATCGCTACCTTCCCAAGAGACCACGCCAGCAGCCTTGTCATAAACTCTGATGGGCACAAGAGCCCCTTCGGGAAAGCCCACCAGCTGACCGCTGTCCCAACCACCTTTACCCAGGCCTGCAGGACGGCAGGACTGGGAGCAGACACGTCGTGCACCCGATCTGCAGTCTAACTTGCTCTCCTCCTGGAAGAGGGCACACTCCTAACTGGCTCCAGCAGGAAAGGCCCCGCATGAGGGACTGCACGGAAGGCACCTCTGGACCCTCTCTGGACCCCAGGCATCCTGACCCGGGACGGCTGCTGCACCCACTGGGGAGTTTGCTGAAGGCACAGCAACCAGCGGCTTCTGTCCTGGGAGGAGGCTTGCCCTGCGTGCCTCTAACAACATCTTGGACCGAGGCCGGAGTTGGAGGCCGGCTGCCGCGTCCAGGGTGGGGGCCAGGGGAGGGTTTGGTTACTGGGGGCACCGTGGTCTCCCAGGTCCCTCAGGTTTTGTCCAGGGAAACAAAGCTTCAAGAAAACACGAGGTGAGTCACAGACCTCGGGGGGCTCCGGGCTGAGCTACTAAACGTGGCTGATGACCAGAGTCTCCAGAGCAGCTGGGTGGCAAGAGGTCACCCAGGAAGAGTTTTAGCTGTGGACGCTGGCTTGGGTTTGTCCTGCGGGGATCCGTTTGCACGTGTTGCTCTGGCCTTTCAGTTACAGTTGGGTGAGGGGTGGGTGGCTCCGTGCGAGCTGTTCTGTGCCCCCCCTTGGTGCGTGACGCGTGAAACTGGGGGGCGCCCCCTCGCCCCAGCGCCTCCAAGGATGAGGGAGGATGTGTGGCAGGAGGGTGCTGTCAGCACCACACGGGGATGTCTGGTTTGGAACAACCAGGTCCACAGGGAGAGGACAGGAGCAGGGATTCTGCTGGGTGAGCCCCGAGGCCCAGCCCCGAGCACCCAGATCTGGGCACCCAGCCCCGAGCCCCAGCCCCCAGGCCCAGCCTCCAGGCCCGGTTTCCCCATTTACAACTGAGGACGAGACCCGCTGGCCAGCCTCAGCGAACACGGGCCCCAGAGCCCTGGTCGGACTCGAGTGCTGTCGCAGGCCAGCACTGGGGGCCACTCACCATGTCCTTGAAGGCCCCTAGGACAGCTGCTGTGACAATGCCCAGGAACAGGCCCAGGACGTTCAGCACCGCCGAGGCCCAGAGCAGCCGGTACAGGTGGAGCACGTCCTGACAGCCGCTCACGCCCACGAACTCGTAGTAGGTGGGAGGGTGCTCGGAGCTGCACACGGGGATGGACAACGGCGTCACCCACACTTGCAAGGAGGTGACCTTACCGCCAACAGAGCAGGGTCGGGAGGACGCAGTGCTGGACCCAGGCAAATTGCGTCCAGACAAGCTGCGGTCTTTGCCCGTGGATGCCCAGAGGGGTTCGTCCTGGCCCTCCTGCCATGGGCCTGCCGTGGTCTGGAAAGAGCCCTGGACCTCGGGCATCACGGTCCTGGGCCTGCAGCCTGGGCCACAGGGACCTACAGGGGCAGCCCCGTTACCCCCGTGACCCCCATACACTGCTCCTCCCATTTGGGTTTGGAAATAGGATGGATCTCTCTTCCTGGGGAGGGGGTGCATCTTAAACCCATGGGTTCTCAACAGTCAGGGGAGGGGTCCCCAAGAAGCAAACGTCAACCTTCCCGCTGGTTTGAATGTGGGTGTTCAAGCTGTGACGATGGGGAAGGTTCCACTTCCTCCCACAAGGAGCTCAGAACCCCCACCCCAGCCTAACAGCACGTGAACAGCTGTGCAGCCTGGGAAATCAGCAGCTCTACTGGAGTAAGAGTGGAGGACACAGGACGCACCACGGCCCCAGACAGGAGAGACAGACAGGCGGATGCAGCCCCCTGAGCAGAGACACATGAGTGGAAACCTTTGCCGGACCAGCGCCGGCAGGAAACCCTCACCCATGACGCTGAGCTGCCGGGGTCCCCATGCAGACAAGTCTGAGGGGACCCATCACTGAGGGACGGTACCGTGAGGATTACCTCCGGGAGCCCAGCCAGGTTCCCACAGTAAACATCAGGGAAAAGTGCCCCGGGCTTCCGAGGGGAGGGAAGGGCTGTTCTGAAAGCACTGTTCTGAACAAGGCTGCCCTCGGGGACGCTGGTCACCAGAACCTGACCCCTGGGAGGGAACGCCCACCCCAGGCCCCACTAGCCGGCCTGTCCCAGCGGAGGGGGGAAAGACGGAGACTGGTGGGTGTGGCTCAGAGCCCAGACCAGGCTCTCGGGGAGATGACCACGGGGCTCACAGACACCCCCACTCACTGAGCCCCAGTTTTCTTGTCAGTGAAACGGAGCCGGCACCCTTTCCTCCCGTAAGTGTTGAGAGCTAGAGGAGATGATGGGGGAGCAGCGTCCAAGGCCGGGGTAGGAAGGAGGGACGGGAGGAGGGCTGCCCGGCACGTCCAGGTGCAAGGGGCTTGGCCACAGCCACCCCCCAACTCACCCCCGGCAGTCGTAGAGGTCGCAGCAGTAGCAGGTGTGGCTCCTCACCTTCAGCTGGCACTTGCTGTTCAGGGAGTGGCAGGTGACCTGCAAGCAGAGACCTCGTCGGGTGCCCGCTCGTCCTCACCCCGGAGTGGACACAGCTGCCTCCCTGGGAGCCGGGACCCGGCCGCTGCACCTGGCCAGTCAGGCAGCGCCCCCTCCTGACCTCCCCCTCCCCCATTACAGCTGCAGGGGTGTTGGGGGGCTGCAGCGCCCTCCCTTCAGGAGGAATCAGAGGACCAGGCTCGGCCACGCCTGCCAGTGCTCGCTGGACAAGGAGAGGGAGAGGGTTCCCGGCACCGTGCGTCAATAAGGACACTCCTCCAGGTGAGGACCGGTAGGGACTCCTCCAGGTGGGGACAGATGGGGACTCCTCCAGGTGGGGACAGATGGGGACTCCTCCAGGTGGGACCCTTCCTGACCACACAGAGGACAGCTCCTGGCAGTCTGATCTGACCAAGCCATCCCTGCCTAAGCCACACGGAGGCCTTGCCCCAGGCTACAAATGTTGGGGGGGACTTTTGATGTTAAAGGAGCAAGATTGGGGCAAAAATGCACACTTTCTCCCCCTACTCCAGTGCTATGCGATGTGTGGGCATGGGCTGTGTCACCCCATGTGGGAGGTGAGCAGAGCCGAGACCACCCCAACTTCAGAGGGAGTACAGTGATGCCAGGGGAGCAGAAGGAGCTTCTGAGGGAGGATGGTGCACCTCGGGAAGGGCAGAGATTCAGGCTGGCTCTCCCGGCTCTCCACACAAGCTCGGGGTGGCTCTCAGAGGTGAGGCACTGCACCGGGGCAGGTTAAGGAACAGGATCAGACCCTAGAGTCCTCAGAGCCTCCCTGGGGCCCTGGTGGTCAGGGGCTTGGTGACTCAGACTCGGAGGGGGCTGGGCCAGGGGATGTGACATGTGAGAACTGGAGGGAAGGAAGGAGCAAGGGTGACACACGACTCTGAGCCCAGCACCCAGCTTGTGAGACGTCAGAGCCACGGGATGGGGAGCTGGAGGTCAAGAGGCCTAACCCTAACCCTAACTCTAACCCCTAACCTTAACCCTAACCTCCAACCCTAACCCCAATCCCTAACATCTAACCCTAACCCATAACCCTAACCCCAACCCCCAACCTCTTACCCCCTAACCTCTAACCCTAACCCCTAACCTCTAATCCCCTAACCTCTAACCCTAACTCCTAACCCCTACCCCAAACCTCTAACCCTAACCCCTAACCCCTCACCCTAGGTGTCCCCTCCTGGGAGGTGTCCCCTGCTGGGAGGTGTGGAGACAACAGTTGGGACAGTGGCTCAGAGTAGGGTCAGCCAACAGGAGCCTCAAGCCCAGCCCAGCGCATAGCCTGTCCTGTAGGTGAAGCTCTGCGTGGCCACACTCATCTGTCCACACGTCGCACCGAGAGACAGAGTTGAGTAGCTGTGACAGAGACCATCTAAATCTTAAACTATCACTGGCCCTTTATGGGGAAAGTTGCTGGCCCCTGGTTTAGAGCTGTGTGGGCAGCTTCGGCCCCAGAATCTTTGGGGAGATTTTTAAATTTGGTGTCCACTGAACCCTGTCCCTGGGGTAGGACTCGGCGTCCGAATTTGCTCCAGCCCCTGGACTGACTCCAGTGGACAGTGGGGTGAGAACGCCTGGTGGAGGGATGGATGGAGCCGGGCAGCCCAAGGCATGTAGCCTGACCTCAGAAGGAGACAACGGGGTTCCGGAGGGGGGCTTGCTTTTCTGTGATCCCAGGAGGGAGGGAAAGAGTCCAGCCTGAACTGGAACACATCAGGGTGAGCAGAAGGGAAGGACAGGCCTGCAGAGGGCAGGGGGCACACAGGGAGCACCTGGAGAGCCGTGACCCCCTCTGAACGCGACAGGTCCCAGGGCTCCCCCAAGCCAGGCGAAAGGCCACAAGTGCCGGGACCGGCCTTTGGAGAAAAAATGTGCCGTCTCCCTCGGAGAGGGGCGACAAGGGGCCTCCAGGCCAGCAGCAGAGGCCACTCAGCGCCCCATGCCACAGCATGCAGAATGCCCCTTCCCATCCCCGTGGTCCACAGAGAACCCCAACAAGCCACGCAGAGTGTTCTCAGGCTGCTCCTCTCTGCCCTCCTCCTTTCTGACATTGGTATGCAGCTTGAGAGGCCGTGTTTCCTTAAACCGACAATCTACACAGGGCTGGGCTGAGCCGGCTGGACACGTCAGAGAGAACCACGTGCCCCCTGGGGACGCCGTGAGAGCAGACGGTGTGCCACCGAGGACGGCGTTATTCTTGGCGTTGCACGCAGCTGGGAATAGAAGTGAAACCGCCCTGCAGGTGTCCGTGGCCCAGGAACTGTCGGTGAGTCCCTTGGCCAACGTAAATGTAGTTCATAGCTTTTTACACCAGTAGTTAAGCCAACAAAACATGCTCATCGGAAAAACCACACGGAGCTGCACAAGTGAGTCCCAGGACTGGTGTGGGTCAGAGAAGGCAAGTCAGAGCCGTGATTCCCAAACAAACAGGACACATTAAATGTCAGAGCTCGAAACAAAGTGTGAGCAACAAATCCTCACACGACACAGAGTGGAGACGGACAGAAGAACTGCTAGAATCCAGACACTCAGACTCTGACCAGGGACTCAGGAAATGATGGGATCCCTGGATCAGCAGAGCGAAACCAGACATGAGGCCCAGCGCTGCTCACCTCTGTCTGGTAGATGTCGTGCAGGTATCCCAGCCCGCTGGAGTAGAACTGGCATCTCCCCGTGGAGAGGGGCCTCGGTTCCTGGAGCAGAGAAACGCAGGTGGAATGGAACAGTTTCCTCCCCAAATCAGGAGTGGCCAGAGGCAATTCAGACCCGTCGGCCACGGCCCTGAGCCTAGAAGAGAGATGCCAACACCACTAGAGCCGGCCAGATGGAGAACACAAAGCAGGAAATGCCACAGCTCATTCCAGAGCAGCTGGGCTCCTGCGAGCAGAACACCCCAGGGGAGCAGGCGCCCCGTCCCTGCAGGCTGGGCCGACACATCTCCTCCTCCCCCCGTCAACACGGGGCAGCTGAAGGGAAGTGGCTGCATGACATTTTGAGGTGCACCCTACAACTCTCAATAGGGAGACCCCTTGGCTCCTGCCTCCTTCCCTAAAAAAACAAAAAAACAAACTTTTTTTTGACTAGGAAAGGAGCAAAAGGGATTTCAGACTAATTCACTCATCCAGTTAAAGATCCACCCACCCACCCACCCATCCATCTAATCATCCAGTCATTCAACCATCTATGCATCCATTCCTTCATCCATTTATCCATCCATCCATCTATCTTTCCATCTATCTATCCATCCCTCATCCATCCAGTCATCCCTCTATCCCTCCATCCATCCCTCTATTCATCCACCCATCCTTCCATCCATCCATCCATCTTCCCCCTCCCTCCATGCGTCCATCCACCCACCAACTATGCAAGCACACATCCACCTATGACCTTATCCAACTATCCATCCACCAGTCTGTCCCCAGTGTTCATGGAGCAGACACAGTGCCACCTTATACAGGTACCCAGTTAAGACACAGTTCCTGTCCTTAGGGGATTAGTGAAGGAGACAGACCAGTAAACTGACAATTACAAAGTGCTTATAATTGCTCTGGTAGACAAGAGCAAGGAGCACACAGAAGCTATAAACTGCCAGGAACCTGATGTTGTGAAATGAGTTAGGGTCCCGATAACTGTAGTTTTACTACTTCGTTAGTTGTATTTCCCAAAGCATTCCTACTTCTGACCTAAGAAAAGAGGTCAGAACCCTGTGGCGTAGCGGTTAAGTGTGAGCGCTCCATTGCTGGCGGCCCGGGTTCAGATCCCGGGCGTGCACGGACGCACTGCTTGTCAGGCCATGCTGTGGCGGCGTCCCATATAAAGTGGAGGAAGATGGGCACAGGTGTTAGCCCAGGGCCGGTCTTCCTCAGCAAAAAGAGGAGGATTGGCAGATGTTAGCTCAGGGCTGATCTTCCTCACAAGAAAAAAAAAAAAGAAAAGAGAATAAAACAACTGTGACACCAGTGATGGGTGACAGGCATGCATCCGTGTGTCCAGGCGGCAGCAGCTGATGATACAGGGTGGCGGAACGGAGCTGAGTCCCTGTCCTCAAGGAGTCTGTCTTCCTGTGGGAAACACGTGTAGAGCATGGAGGATGGTGAGAAAGGCTGGGGAGAGAGACAGGGGACTGAGAAGGCTGGGTGGGGCTGCCATACAGGCCTCCTCAGCCCTCCTCAGGCCCAGTGCTGACTGGGCAAGGCTGTGGGTCAGGGCCGGTTCTGCCCTGTGGGGACCTCTGCTGGGCGCCCACCACCCAGTTCTCTCCTCCTTTCCCTTCACGGGCGTTGACCCGACAAGGCCTTTGTGTCAGCAGCTCCGGCTCAGCGTCTGTTCCCCAGGGAATCCGGCCGGCACGTGGGCAGCGATGTTCAGGTCGGCACAATCCTCGTGACTGTGCCAACGTGCCGGTGACAAGCTTCAGGTTCTGATAGGTCGTCCCTGTGGACAGCTGCCCTCCTTCCTCCCAGTAATCAAGGGGAAATGCCCTTTCAGACTCCAACTGATGACTGGCTGAAAGGGCCCAGACTCACGGCCCCGAAAGTCACCCTCAGGCCCTCCTGGTTTACATCCAGCCCAGCTCGAGGGCTGGCCCCCGGGGTCTGGGGGAGCGTATGGGACCATTAGCTCTGTCTCAGTCTGCCCTAAACCCCACCGACTGGGCGGCTTCAACAACAGACGTTTATTTCTCCTAGTTCTGGAGGCTGGACGTCCGAGATCAGGTGCAGCAGGGTCGGGATCTGGTGAGGACCTTCTTCTGTCCTGCAGACAGCCACCTTCTCCCGTGTCTTCACAGGGCAGAAAGAGCTCTGTCTCTTTCACAAGGACCCTAACCCCACCACAGGGGCCCTACCCTCATGACCTCATCTAACCCTGGTCACCTCGAAGAGGCCCCACCTCCAAACACCACCTCATGGGGCTTAGGGCTTCAGCAGATGGATTTGGGAGCACAAACATTCAGCCATGGCCGCTCTGGAGCTTCGTCAGCTCCCTGCTGAGCGTCACCTTAAATCAGTGACGGAGACTTGCTGTAAAACTTGGACTTTTTAGTGAATCCTTTTTCTAACACAGGAGCACCAGTGGTTTGGTGTGATTTTCTGTCTGATCTTTACTATTCAATCAGGATGAAATAATTCTTATTAGTTTTGAATTAAATAAAACTGTAACCCATTTTAGCCCAGATAAATCACACAAACTTAATTTTCGAATTTATGATGAAACTGGAAATTGTGTTTCTCTGGGGATAACCCTAAATTTCCTCTGGGGCTGGAGGGAGCCCAGAGTCAGCGTCATTCTGGCCTAGGAGCGTGGGCAGCAGGTGCTCAGGAGGAATGTTGCACACGGTTTTTATTTCTTAACCGTTGCACATAAATTAACACTAAACAACATTGATCATCAGACTGTAAGTCGTTAAAACCTGTGTGTCTCCTGCAGGGGTCGGCCAACCACGGCCCTCAGGCCAAACCTAGCTCACCATCTGATTTTGTAAATAAAGTTTTATCGGCACACAACTGCACTGACTCATCACGTATCATCTGGGGCTGCTTTTAGGCTGTGACGGCTGAGCTGAGTAGCAGTGACAGGCCACGTGGCCACAAGCCTAACATGTTGACCCTCTGGCCCTTTCCAGAGACGCCAGCTGCCCCGGTCCGTTGCACACCTGGCACCCGCAGGACTCAGTGAGCAGCTGTGAGGTGAATGAAGGGGCCAGGAACTGCCCAGGAGGCAAAAGGACACCCTTGGTGTCGGCCCTGGTGTCAGCACTGTGCAGCCAGTTGTTGAAAATGTCCCAAATTAGCTACTGAATTAAACACTTTGGGGCGACCACATTGTTGTTATGCCAGAGATGAGTCCACCCTGAGCTGGAACAGGAGGCCTGGCCGAGTGACCATCAGCCTCAGTATTCCCCATTCCTCTGTAATGAGCCATGACCCCCAGGAGTCTGCCAGGCCAGAAGATCTGACCAAAGGCCCACTGGGTGGAAACAGGAGTGGGCTAATTCCCAACAGATCTCCTGCCAGCGACGAACTTCCAGTACCCGGGGGCAGACATTCCACTTCACGAGGCGGCCAGTTAATGTGGAACAAGGGGTCCTGGAGTTCTCTCCAGCGATCTTTATACGTCGCCTGCAAAGACGAATTGCTTCAATAAATCCTACTTGTCCATGAAACAAGACAGGGGCCGAGGGAGACACATGCCCCCCGTCTTCACTCCGGTAGCACTGGGAGGAGGAGATTCTTCCACTTGGAAACCACTGGTTTTGAAGGAAATGTCTCTCAGACGTGAGCTGAGAGGGAGGTGGCTTGAGAAAGCCATTGCACACGGGGGCAGGGCCGGGACCCCACCTCTGGCCGCCGTGAGTTCCCCCATCAGGAAGAAGCTTCCAGGAAGAAGAGTCCAGGAAGGCAGGCCGGGTTTCTGCCTCCAAAACCAGGGTTCTCAAAACTGCCTGCCAGACCCAAGCCCTCCTGCTACTCAGCTCAGAAACAAGAGTGAGTCCATTACCAATGGAAGGGCGAGAGTGTGGTCCAGGTGCAGACTGATCCCATGGCTGGAATGTAACCAGAAAACGAGCTGATGAGGCACCCAGTCCTTTGAGAACCAGCTATGGTGTAGATGTTGGTAAACATCCATGGGTCTGGGTATCTAGGGTGTGCTGCCACGGGAGCCACCGGGACTCGGGGGTTGGGGAGGGGATAGGTCGTCAGGCCACGGGAGCCACCGGGATTTGGGGCGGGGCTGGGAGTCGGTCATCAGGCTGGGGCCTCTCCACCACGCTCACACTCCACACACCGCGTCTCGTCTGTTCCAGGGACACGCTTTCCCCGCTCTTTGATGTCCCACATGTTTGTCTCCCGGCTGTTGGCATTTTAAAACTATAATTTCGAGAAGTACCGAAAGCTGGTTACTGTTTGCAGAAAAGGGCTTTGGGCAAATTGATTCTTCATTTGTCCGACAATAACCATCTCCCGGGAGAGTCAGGCTGCGGATTTTCAACCTGGAAACTCACTCCTTGCTCTTCACGTCCCTGTGCTACTGGATACGCAGGCCGAGCACTGGAAGGACAGGCCAGTCCTGGGGACACTGGCCACGTGCAGCCAGAAGAAGCTGGAAATCCATCAAAGAAGAAAGACAGACGAGCCCGTGGACATGAGGACCCCGCTCCAGCCTCCGTGCGTGAGGCTGGTGGAGTCTCATGGAACCCGAGGCTCCCGAGTGGCGCCAGGACCCAGGTGGCTGGAGGGACGTGACCGCCGCTTTAATTTCAAACCGCCGACCGGGAGAAAGATGCCGTGCTTTGGGCAATTCCTTGGCCCTTTGCCATTCCTGGAAAGGAGTCTGTAAAGATCCACAGTACCGACATTTTTTAAACCTTTTATTTGGAAGTAATTTCAAACTTACAGAAAGGTGGCAAGAATAGAGTACTATGAGGCACAGTCTCTGCCCGGATTAACCTCATGTTAACAGTGGGTGCCAGCTCGTTTAAAAAACCTAAGAAACTCCACAATTATAAACATACTCAGTGCGGCCGGCCACGTTAGTGTGACCCGGTGCAATCTTAAGCCTTTGGCTCGCGTGGGCAGTGCCCTGCATACCCACGACATGTTGGGGCCTCAGGGAGGTGCCAGCTGGATTCTCCTCGCGGGCTCGGACGGGATGCTGGGTCAGGACACCGAGGGCAAACAAAGTGGCTGCCCCTGCCCCTTCCTTCTGAGGCAGGCATGGCTGGGCCCTCAGGGAAGCTGGATGACACAAGGTCCCTGCTTACTGCCCCTGTCATCTGAGAGCTGCAGCGGGATTCCACCTGGGCGTCCACAACTCCACCCAGTCCCGCCCTTGGTCCTGTCTGCGTCTGGCCACCTGTAGAGCCTGGAGTGGGCCGCCCTCCATCCCAGCCCTCAACCCCATACTCTCCCCTGTCACCAGCCAGGCAGGAACCCTCAGGGCTCAGTTGAAGATGCCCCATCTTCAAACACCGTATAAAACTTTCTCAGTAAAACCCAGCTATTGGTGTGCTCTGTATTTATAGGGGAGAAAAGCCTGGTTGTGTGGAACCTCTGACCTGCATCTGTCCACGGTTCCCGAAATGTCCACATCTCATTTCAACTCAAAGAACATGGTCTGCCCAGGAAGGGGCGGCCGTCTTTGATTCGCAGACCCTGAAGGGCATACGTGGTTTTATTTCATCCTCAATCACACTGTAGGAAATAAGAATCATCCCATTACGAATACAGACGCTGGAAGCAACTGGCCCAGCTCTGAGTTTGAACCCAGGTCTCTCTGGCTGAAAAACCAGCACCTTTTCATCTGTTTCACCTGAACCCCTGGCAGCTGAGCCCTCTGCAACGGATCAGGCGGGGGTGTGGTCACTCGCCTGGCCACCAGGGTGGTGAGTGGGCTCAGGCTGCCGAGGCGACCCTGGGCCGGCTGCCTCTGGCCCCAGACCTCTTCATCTTCTTAGTCAGTATTGCCACTTGGAGGCGCTCTGTGCTGGGAAGGCTGAGCCGGACGCTGTGGGCGACAGGCCTTGAGGACAAGGCGACCGCAGAGTCGGTGCCTGGTGAGGACCCGCGTCCTGGTTGGCAGACGGCGTCTTCTCGATGTGTCCACACGGTGGAAGGGACGAGGGAGCTCTCTGGGGCCTCTTCTATGGGGACACTAATCCCATTCGTGGGGGCTCCACCTCCCAAAGCCCCCTCAACACCATTACCGTGGGGCTAGGTTTCAACATACGAATTTGGGGGGACACGAACCTTCAGTCCTCGGCACAGGCCCCGACCACACCTCCCCTGGATTGCTGTATAATGAAGCGCTTGGGGGAGGTATGAAGGGGACGTACGTCTGCATCTCGGCCCCATCATTTCTGTCTGAGGCCGTGAAGGGTCTCCTAATGGTTCTCCAGAGACAGAATCATCAGTCCAGCCGTGTCCGCCTCGTCGGAATGGGGGCTGAGCAGATGGCTCTAGCGGGACGGGGCATCTCGGGACCCGACTGTCTCACCACCTCTGACTTCCAAGGTCAGAGGTAACATCTGATGGACGAATGCAGAAAACAACACTGCACGTGACCAAAACCGTCTTATTTTAGAGGCCACGGCAGCTGCTGACGAGGCAGACGTCGGTGCTTCTGATGCAATTCTGCTGCTGCGCTGTGTTCAGATTAACCGACAAGACACCCAAACTCTCTTTGATTTGCCTAGTTTGTACATCTGTCTACGTTGAAACAGGAAGAACCATCTCCTGACGGTATGACAAAGCTTTTATAAACGTAGAAAGAAGGTTAGAAAAAATATCCTGCATAACAGGTGATGGATTTTACCTTTTGCCTTTGACTTGGCTCTTTAACTGATTTTAACATAATTTAACATTTGTATAAGCACCATCCTCATTGATCTCGTCTTTTTTTTGCTCAGAATCTGTTCACATAATGCTAAAAACTAAACCGGCAGTGTTCTGTGCCGTGGCCGCGTGGGAGCCACGGTTCTCGAGCATGTGTGTCCTGACCTGACGGCTCCACTTGAATAACCACTGATGGAATCTTCCATCTCAGGCTTCCGCACCATTAGGCAAATAAACGGAAAAGGATTTCACAGGCTACAGCGCCAACCTAGAGGATTCTGTAGTAATCTTGCTAGAGACACGTACTGAACCATAAACCTGGGAAGACGTGAGGCAGTGGATCTTGGGATGTGTCTCGTCTTAAGTTTAGAGAGCTTGAGGAAAGTTACCTGGGAGGCTGAAGCATCTGATTCTAACCGATATGGTTGTGCTGGGGCGTGTGTGTGTGTGTGTGTGTGTGTGTGTGTGTGTGTGTCGGGGTCAGTTTTGCAGGAAACGAGGAAAAATGAGGAAATGAAGGACAGTATTTGCAAACACAAGTGGAGAGAGAAACGTGGAGGTCACTGAGCTGAGTTCTGCAAAACGGAATTTTATTTTTGTGAGGTAGGTTTTTCAAACCCAGGAAAGCGATTGAAAACAAAATTAAGAAGATGGGACTCACTATGTGCCGAGCGGCAAAGACGCCGTCCACGGTGGCGCAGCAGAAGGCCGCCACCACGCCGAAGCTGATGAACACGATGGCTGCCACCAGCTGGAAGTGGAGACACAAGAGGGAGTGGGCGTTGAGCGTCCAACAGGACCCTTTTCCAAACACAAACCAGTTCAAAGTCCCACCCGCATGTTAGCTGTTCCTTCCGCAGGATTCTCGTCTCCACCCTGCCTGAGTCCCCAGCGATTTACAGCCCAGGACGATCCTGGGCCAGATTGCACCCCAGCCAGCACATTCTTGATGTTTCATTTCACGCGACAAATAGACAGGAGGGTCCTGTGGATGGGGGAGCCTTCAGTCCCTCCACCCCTCAGCACACCCCTCAGCACACCCCTCTGCACTTGCCTCATGAATAATCAGGGTTATTTAACCAGTTCCTGTGATGGTGTTTAAACGGTTTACAATTTCTTTTTTTCTTTTTTTTTTTTTGCGGAGGAAGATTCGCCCTGAGCTACCATCTGTGCCCATCTTCCTCTATTTTGTATGTGGGTCTCCGCCACAGCATGGCCACTGATGGGTGGTATAGGTCCGTGCCCAAGAACTGAACCCTGGCTGCCAAAGCGGAGCGTGCCTATCTTAACCACTAGACCACGGGACCGGCCCCAGCAATTTCTTCCTATTACAAACTCTGTGACAACGACCCTAAATGTGTTCTATATGAAAAATCTCAGCTCGTGTGTGAGTATTTCTGTAGGAGAGGTAAGTGGAGCACACAAGAGCCACACGTTTAGATGGGACACATATGTGCTGCCTTGTCCCTTAGGTGGCCCTCTCCCTCCAACAGTCTAACCTCCATCTCCTCATATCCCGAATGACACTTCATATTATTAATCTTTAAATTTTGCCAATCCGATGGGCAAAAAAGTCTCATTGTTATTTCAATTTGCATTTCTCTGAGGTTAAGAACCTCTTCCTACATTTTTTTTTAATAATTTTATTTTATTTTCTCCCCCAAAGCCCCAGTAGATAGCTGTATGTCATAGCTGCACCTCCTTCTAGTTGCTGTATGTGGGACGCGGCCTCAGCATGGCCGGAGAAGCGGTGCGTGGGTGTGCGCCCGGGATCCGAACCCGGGCCACCAGCAGCGGAGTGCGAGCACTTAACCGCTAAGCCACGGGGCCGGCCCTCTTCCTACATTTTTTTGGCAATTTCTTAAAAAAAACTTTTTTGGGGCTGGCCCCGTGGCGTAGCGGTTAAGTGCATGCACTCCGCTGCTGGCGGCCCAGGTTCGGATCCCGGGCGCGCACCGACGCACTGCTTATCAGGCCATGCTGTGGTGGCGTCCCACATAAAGTGGAGGAAGATCAGCACGGATGTTAGCTCAGGGCCAGTCTTCCTCAGCAAAAAGAGGAGGATTGGCAGATGTTAGCTCAGGGCTGATCTTCCTCGCAAAAAAATAAAATAAAATTTATCTTTTCCTGTGAAATAATTTCAGGCTTACCAAAACAAATAGCAAAAACAGTACAAAGAACCCCTGGATGTCCTTCCTTCAGATTCCCCAGGTGTTAACACCTTCACAACCGCACCAGTGACCTTTCCTTATCTGCAACTCCTCTCCAGCAGCAAGAACCCCGCTCTCATGATCCACAAGTATGTATTTATTTTCTTGGCCCTGGAACATGCATAAAGTAATTTTGGAATTACTAACCCGACCTTGTGAAGGTCAAGCTACTAACCAGAGCACAATGTTTGTGCGCAGGTCTCATCTGTGGCCTTAGAGAAGAGGGTCAGACACCGTCCTCCCTTGTGACTCGGGGCAGCTCCTCCCCTGTGGCCGAGTGACTCATTAATGATGCAGTCAGGCGCTCTGGTTGCTGTGTTCCATACAGCTCTCCCTCTCCCTCTCCAGCCTGGTTAATCTGAATTATTTATTTGCTCAGCAAAGCACAGGGAATTGGTCTGAAACGTTGGCTGGTTTGACACCCAGAATTTCACGTTTTGACACGAAACTCCCAATGGCTACTCCAGGGGACAGAATGGGACTTGAGACCATACACCCTCCGCTGCTGTTCCAAGAGGAGAGGAGCCGGCTGGCACTCTGAGCTTGCCTGGATGAGCCCCCTCCCTCGAACCCCACTCCAGATGCCCAGCCCCACGTGCTGCTTCCAAATGAAAAGGGTCCCCCGACATTGTAAATCAGAGCTGGCACCCCAGTCCTCTTGGGGGTCTCTGAACTAGTGACCCTTCTGGCCCTCAGCTCCCCATGTGGAAAGGCAGGTGTGGAGCTATGACTTATCCATGCCCTAACTAAGTGTTTCTCAGTGCCTGCTAGGACCTGCGAGTGGTATAGGCCCTGCAGGGGCAGAGGCGACAAAACCGATGGTGACCTTGGCCCTTCCCCACGGCCGACGTTTCTGACGTTTACGATGAATAGACTAAAGAGGACTTGGGGGCTCCCTGGGGGAGCCGTGCAGGGAACCACACCTGCACAAGCCTCAACCGGAACAGAAGAATCATCTCCAGCTGGACTTTCTACGGCACTGAGGCCATTTTAGAACCTGCTGTTCTGGGCGACTGCTCTGGGTCCACTGACCCCCATAGTGACTGGGCCCCACGGGGCAGAAACAGCTGCTCTGTTAGCTGGAGAGAAGCAGAGATGGGTGATGGGGGGTCCCCCATGAAGAACTGAAGCCCCAAGGTGGTAACTGCTGTCACAGGCTGAACCATGAGCTCTGATGGGCACAGACAGGGGGGACTTGCCTCACCCTGAGGATGAAGGAGGGCCTGGAGCAGCTCTGGGAAATAGACAGGGTCTCCTCCAAGGGGGCTGGCAGGCAGCAGGAGCAGGGCCAGAGCTGTGGGACAAGGGTGGGCGCTCGAGCCCCCGGGGTTAACACCGGAAGGTCCGTGATGCTCAGGGACTGTGGCCAGAGGCAGACCTTCCTTCACCTCCACGGGGAAGGGGAGTCCTGGGGCTTCCTCCGCATGAAGTCACCGCACACAAATAAAATGTTTATCGTGCGAAGAGTTGCATAGAAATCGTTTGCAGAAATTATACCTAACTGAACTTTCCTACACTTGTGTTGCTGTTATGAAAAAATACATGAAAACGTAAATGAAAGGGTCAGAAGGCGACTTTCCAGTTCCCAGCAGGGAGGCCAGGTGCCTCTGCTTTTCCGGAGGAAAATGAAAAGCCTGCGTCTAATTTGGCTGCCGAGTCCTCGCAGCTTCCTCCCCGACCTTCCTGCCGTCCCAACTGGCTGGGCTCTGTCCCCCCTTGGCTCGCACCCTTCAAAGAGGAAACATTATCCATGGTTCATGCTCTTCCTTCACACCGGCCGTGAATCTCGAGGCCGCACCGCCTCGTCTTAGCACCAGCTGGGAGGGAAGGGCACACGGCCCATTGCTCCTGGAGGACGCCTCTGTGACCAACAGCCCACCCCAACCCAGCGCAGCCCACGGAAGGACACGGCGAGCACGCTGTTCTGAAAGGGCGCCCACCAACTCCTGTTGGGCAGAACTCCCGGCCAGAGGCCAAAGGAAAAAAGCCACGAAGATGGACAAAGTCACGTTAGAGTCCCCATGCCCTTCCGCACAGGGCCTCCTGCCAACCCTGGTGATGCTGTGACGTTGGCACTGTCTGCAGTTGGCAAAGGTCAGCCAGCGTCGGGGGAGAAAGGCTGGTCCCCGCTAGAACCCCGTCCCCGGGCTCATCAGGGGAAAGCCCGCCTGACAGAGGCCACGGCCACAACTTCAGGGGTTCAGAATGCAGCCCCGCTCCCCCAGACCTCCCCAGATAGCCCCGTGGCCTCAGGAAGGGAGGCCAAGTTTCTGACACAGAAGCCATGGGAGGTTAACCCTCTCCTCCAGCACCTGTCTCCTGGGCACCTGCCTGGCTCCAGGCTCTGTGCAGGACCCATTGGGGTCCCCCTGTGCACGTGGCCCTGACATCCTTCTCTGCAGACAGCTCACTCAGCTCATGGGCGTGAACCCCCTTCAATGGCACCATTCCCTCTTCCAGGCCTGCCTTCCCCTCTCCCCCACCATCCCAGGGCCACTTCTGTGTCCCCAAGGAGCTGAGCTGTCCCAGTGATGACTTTCCTAGAGCCCAATGGGGCCTGCGGCCAGTCCAGTGACCAGGTCCCCATCAGAAGTGGGTGTCTGCTAGGCCCCATGCGGTGTGCATCCTCTCCAGCTCGGGGCCTGGCCCAGGACATCCACCAAGCACTTGCCAATTGCCTGAGAAACTTCCAGAAGTGTCACTGCACTTCTCTCACCACAAGTGGGCGACCAGGGTGGCTGTCAGGACCTGCTGCCCCTGGAGCTCAACCCGCACCAACTCAGTGACTCCTCAGAGAGCGCCACACTCCACATCCCAGCCAGGCGGCCAGCTCTGACCAGGTGTCACAGTCCCGACAGCCGAGACCCTCACGCACACCTCCACCCGGCCTTGTCCACAACTTCACAGAGAGCACAGTCTCCAAAGTCTCCGCTGACACTGCAGGCTGCCCGCACCTGTCCAGACTGATAAACACGTTCTGATCTGGTCTGGCACATACAGTCCCCTCCATTCGAGTGCCCTCGTCAACTGTCAGCTGGTCCTGCCTGGCTGCCCGTCCTCCCACCACCCCTGAGACAGCAAAATTCAGGGCTGGCAAGACGGCTCGCCTGATAAAGTCGTCAGTTCAAGGCCAGCAAGACTGCTTGTGTGATAGCCCCCAGCGCTGGGACGACCACTTGCTCGGTATTGCCCAGAACCTCTCTGGTGTGTGAGCCCCAGCGTACAGGCAGTGGCACTGGGAAGGACATCTGACATTCTCTCCTCCGACTCCTCAGCCTGGAGGTAGAGTTCTGGCCAGAATCGGCGATGGGAGAGCCACCTCTCAGCAGAGACCGGGGTGTTCTCCTGCGTTCCCCGTGACGGCTCCCGCCCTCCTTCCGGGCATCGCTGACCCGTCAGCGTGTTTAAGAACATGAGGCCAGAAGAAAGCACGCAGTGGGAACCCAGCTGCCTCTCATGAAGATACAAACGAGCCGCTTTCCGCAGTCTGTGAGGACCACCAGAGCCCACGGATTCTGCAGAGAGAAACCGCTCTTGCTCC